AAACCTTTGAATATTCATTGTTTTACGATATGGCTAACAGTGTATAGTCGTAATCTGAGATAATTTAATAGTTTGCGCACCAGTTTAGGAAACTGATTTTTATAGGGAAAGCTTACGTGCTCATTGTAACTTATTTTCATGAATTTCTCAATATTTAAATTTACGCATTATCAGGTCGTGAAAAGGTTTTCAGTATTTCAACTGATTTTACCATAATGTTACGACGATTAAAGCGATGAATGCTGAAATAAAGTCTCAGTAGGGATTCACGGAGATGTATGTAAATCAAGCCGATAAGTGACGGATAGGATCAAAGGTGTATCCTGGATCCCAAAACCAGCTGCTACCCATCTTTAGATGATATTGTCAGATGATTTCGAATACAACGATGAACAAAGCACATGGGTAGAAAAAATAATACACAAAGCCATATGTGTTTCCAGCCACATCATTCAGTAGAATTAGTGAACAAATTCAGCAGTAGTAAAAAATGATACAGCATCACTAACTGCTTAAAGTTTTAGGCTGAGTTTGTTATTTATAATCGTTAACAGATCATCACACAAATACTGACAGTTTTTCCTAGCCCTACTGGTTTTTAAACACTGGTTTTATTAGTAGTTAGAGTTTCCATAAGTCTAAAGTCGGCACCTAATACATGCAATATAGGTGATTTGCAACAGTTATTGGTATTCGGACATTTTCTGCTCTTAAAAACTATGTCAGGCACTTGCGTAACTACATCTATCAGATTAAAAGCAATGAACTGTGCTGCGAATGTTATATGCTACCGAAAATTAATAGAGAATGTGTAACTACATCTTGCAACGTAGCTAAGTGCTTAAATATGTTCCAAAGACTGTTTATTATGCCTGCATTGTGACAAACAGTTCCCGAATAAGGATAAAAGGTTCTTCAACAACACTTGTTTTCCCTCGTTTTCAAAAAGTACTCGATATTATGCATTTGATGAGAAAGATATAAGTTTATTCCAAAAGCATTCACTTCATTTAAAGCTTTAATTCAAATATGGAGTTCTATCACAAGAAGATTATTGTTTAAATCTTTTTATACATCCGAATATAATCACTGTACACAGAAAAATGTAAGAAAAGTTAGTCGAGTATCAAAATTCCTTGAAATTTTTCTTGAAGTCATCTGACTGACACCAAAGCATTGACACTTTTAGAGGTGATCTTCCGTTAAAAATAATGATGCTATGCTTACTAAGATATTCCTTTCTATGCTGCATAAGCTTTCATAATATTTGGTGTTAAGATCACGTTTTAAAAATTAGATCATATAAAGAAACTATCACATCTAAACTAAAATTGTATTTCTGTCTAGAGGTTTTTGGAGATTCATTAGTTGTTTCAGGTTGGGATTCATCATGGACTGACATCAGTTGGATGTAACAATGAAAATCTGAGTGCACTGGATAGCTGTTTCGTCCTAGCCTGGGACTCCTCAGCAGCGCGTACCCACAATCTCACCAGATATTGAGCCTGGAACTTTCAGGTTCCGTGGCAGACACGTAACTATTGAGCTAATGGGTCACTCATGGATGACATTTGATGCAGGTCACGCTATATCGTGAACTGACAGATGTAGGAAATATGGACCCATTTACTCAATGGTAACGTGTTGGCCACGAAACATGAAGGTCCTGGGTTCGACACCCGGCAGTATCATGATGGCGTACTGCGTCACATACTGGAACGAAACAGCTATTCAGTGCTCCCAGGTTTCCAACGTTTCTCTAGCTGGTGCCAGTTCATGATGAAATAAAACGAAAATTTTTATTTGGTAAATCAAACTGCTTTTATTTTTAACTTGTGCACTCACTAATATTGGAATACCACAGTCACATCATAAGTTATATAGGCTGATTGAAATGATCTGCCAAGTTCAAGAATGTTGTTCATATTTTCGACTGTCGCATTGGCTCCGTTTGCCTAATCATTCAGTCAGTGCATTTCATGAAGAAACCAATCTAGAAAAGAATTGATTTATCAACACAGATTTGTAACAAAATAAAAAAGTATTTACTACTGAACAATAAGAGTAATTCAGAAGCATTCATTGTGATCTGTGGAACGTTGGATAGTCGGACTCAGCTTATCTAATTGACTGAACTGAACGAGCTCAAAATATAGGGTTGCATCATCCAATAATTCATCAGACCAGTAGAACAAATATTTTATTTCTAGACCACACTAAAGTAATCAGTAAAACTTTCAGATCTTCATTACCATTTTGACAATGCTGATACTGTTCAATAATATGTTGTATTATGAAGTTCAGCCGCTATTACTCTTTGAATAAGTAACCCCTTTTTATGTTTTTTAACACACTACATCTTGTATGCACTCCGTTTATGACCTTGTTCTACTTTCATCCAAAAAAGGTCGACGATTATTTTAAAAGAAGTATTCTACCATAAACTTGAGCATTCATGAGATATCTTGCTTCCATTTAACTAATAAATTTCAAAACATGCCTTCTGTATTTTTTTTTTCTACATACAAAAATATATTCACATATGTATGATTATGAATTCCGACTGGACTATATATATTAATTGCTTCACATATTTACCTTTTAGTACCTTTTGTCTGCATCCTAAACACTTAAGTTATATTTTCAGCTGATAAATATCCTGTTTAAGGTAAAAATCCTGAAAGCGTTTTGTTTGCGGCTAATTGTAATAAATATGAGATATTTCCTCAGATTTAGTGTGCAGTTTGTGTGCGTGTATTTCTATGAGAATACAAAGATGTATGTAGGAAGTTGAAGCCCTCCCAAGCTATAATTAGTAAAATCATACAAAGACTTTTATTTTGGTAGCTGAATCAGGCTATGATTTCCAACTATGAAAAACATACGTCTGGAGGTTTCAACAGCATTCTTTTACTACAGTTGACTTTTTAGTTAAGGAACACATTAACTCAACACAAACCAAATAAACACAGATACATCCTATATTTTCTGCATGCAAAATGAAAACCACATTTCGACTTGGTAGGTATTTATGTTATTACAGCAACTAATTTTTTCTTGATCTGACTGAAATTCAAATGCTTATAATCAACCGAAAAATGCATGGTAACAGAACATATTCCAGCTTCATTACTGAGCAGTCTTCTATTTATTTAACCCAAACTTGAAATTTATTTATATTTTTTCAGGGCAATAAAATGTACTTATTGAAATATGGAAATGAGGTTGTTATTTTGTGACGAATTTCTTCTGCAATGGATATCACAGCAGTGTACTCACCTTCTGAGAAGTATTTCTCAGCCAAAAGATACGTTAGTCATATATCAAACTGGTTTTAAGCAGCGTTCACTATTAAAAGATGTTCTTAATAAGCTGAGTTAGGTATTACAAGTAAATTAAACATTACTCGTTTCTTTTTTCATATATGATTGACTTGATTTCTAATTCAAACTTTTTCAAGTTCATTTACCCTAATTCAGTAAACGCATAACATTTGCTCATTATAGGATTATGATCAGCGCACAGGCAGGTTATCCAGCGTCTCACGCATTATTTTGAAAACCTGACTAGTAATGAACTTTTCTGCTTTTTTCACATGAATGAGTCATTATGATTAATAAATATTGCACAGGAAGGTATGGCCATACCCATGGATATAAACTTAATAACGTAGGGGTTCTAAGATTTGACAGACGTGAACATTTTGTTTCTTACAAGGCAACTATGACGATCCAACAAAGGTGGTCATCGATTTTTCGGAACAATTATAATTTCTGCGGATAATTCATTTACACATATCTTCGTTAGTTGGTCTCTGCCGTTATACTTCCTGAGTCCTATTTCCTTCTCCGTAGCAAATGGATTCTAACTCATAATTTCACTGTTCAACAGACAATAAAACATCACACAGTTGTGTTCAGCTTGTACACTCTGTAAAATAGAACAGATAAATGTTAATCATTAATCATAAGAATGTATCTCTTTGACCACATGTACGATTTATACTTCAGATTGCACAAATTAGACGTTCCAGAGAAGGAAAAAAACCAGTCAGTGACTCTACCATACAAAGATTTAAGGTCCTATCCTAAGTATCTCATCACTTGATATAAGGGCTTATAATTTTCTGTTGTCGGTTGGCTGCAACCGGATTGATCAGTCTCACCACAAGGCTTTTGGTGCAGATGCCTCGACGTGACCAGTGATTCTCTTTCGCTACCCACCCTTCAGATCAGAATGAAATCAGTAGCTTACATCGAGGCATTGACTCAGTAGCCCACATGCCGACGAAGACCGATTAATGTAACTCAGGCAAATCAATAACGGGAAATAACAAGTCCAAACATAAGACTTTGCCCGTGGCACAATTAGTGGCTGTAATGTTTCAGTAGTCAAGTGGATAATGCTCTGTAGTTTGAAGTAAGTGGTTCCAAATCTGAGTCTCAATGGGACTGTCATCACTCACTGAGAGCCAGTCAAATTCAGCTGACGAATTCTCTGTCGGTACAGAGGTGTATCTTGGGTTTGACTGTTAGCCACTGTTCATTTCCAATATTTCACGAAGTGTTTATCAAGGAATCTTGACAATTATGAGTTAACTACTGAAATAAGAAGAATCATATACGTGGTCAATTAATAAATGAATGTTTGTATCAGTCATATAATGACTCATTCAGAAATGATATAACTAATCAACGAAAAACTTGTTCGAAGAAAGTATTTTTGGTGGTTATTTAATCTCTTGTCCCTCAGTATTAAACCCCTGGGAAGGGAAATTCCGTATTATTGAAAGAATAGAGTTAATTACATTTTCTGAATAAGACTGGTTAACGAAACCGATAGCAAAAGAAACTAGAGAAATATTCACTCAATTTTTTGACATCCATATTGAAACAATTACAATTTCACAAAAATGTAATTACTTTCTAGAATGATTTGTTAATATTAGTTCATATGAAAGTAATCACTAAAATGGTAAGGTTTATCCTAAAAAGGTGATGTTACTTTAAATTAACAACAAAATTGTTACTATCAGGTATTTTTGCAACAGAAATACGAAATGTTTTATGACTGCACTCTTGTAAGAATACTGTATTTTCATTCTTTCTGTGAAAAGGGTTAGAAAAAAAGGATATTTTACCATTCAATTTCTACCCTACCTTTAATTTACATTCATTCTTTCCTTCGAAAACCAAAAGTGAATTATAAGGATGAAAAGTATATTTCTTTGCATGTAAACTGAAACCTACAATTTTACGTCTAATCATGCAAGACTGAAACAAATAAAAATATGAGAATATCAACTTACAGGTATTTTTTTGCCCAAACCAAAAATAAAATTAAAATTATGACAAAATGAAAATAATGAAATCGTCTGACTATGAAATAAATTTTTTCTTGTGAGGACTAGGAAACAAAGGAAGTGACAAGTATGTCAGGTTATTTGTTAGTGTTAGCTGAAGTGGAAGAATCGAGATGATGTGTTCACTGATATTCTTACAGTCTAATTTGTGGAATGTTTTGACAGTGAATCGTCAGAAAAAATTTGTAGTAATCTAAAGTGAATACGTTGTGTAGAGAAACGGGTCTCTGAAAAGAAATCATATTGATGCGTATGAATTTCCAGAATATCGGATTTGTTACTTCTGGTGAATGAGAGACTGATTTCTCAATATTGGTTGAAAAGCTCTACAATAACTTAAAACACCAAAAACAAAGTACAACATATTGTCGTTAGAATGCACACAATACAAAAGTTAGATAATGTTTAAAAGGATTATTGAACTTCAGTATGTGAAATATCAAAACTTTACATAGTTTTTGAAGTGTAGCGTATTTCAGATGGAATTCGACGCTTACACGCAGTTTTGATTTAGTTTGGTCAGATATCTTTTCTGGAAAATAGGGGAATATGATTGTGTCTTGCTAATGGTAACATATATAAAACAGGAGTAGTGAGTTTGAATCTCATCTAACGTACTGACGTTTAGCTGAGAACATGTTCTTCTGAAATTTGTTATCAGATATTAGTATTAACAACAAGTAGAGTAGGAATTAGATTTTGTAATATGCTTAAGATTTTGTTGGAAATAGACATTGGGTTGAACAATGAATTTCCAAGACTAAATCACAGTGATAGTTTCATTCAAACTGCGAACCTGTTTTGTATAAGATTACAAAGAAATCAGGTTAACTGGTGTAACTTTTGATGAATGTCTGTCCACAGTTTACGTTATCGAGGTGAATAAGCAGTCAGAAATATTCTTTGATTAGTCTTTCTGAAGTGGATGCAGAGGCAGTAATTTGTTTAATTGGAGCTAAATAACGTGACGGTATGTCCAGTTTTCAAATATCTTGGGGCCATGCTTCTTCTACTTAAAGTTATGTCTTCCTCGTAATTGTCTCAGTGTGGTTAGTTAGATAATTTTTTTTACTACTTAATTATATAGTTAAAGTTAGACAGGACAAATAACTACTCTGCCAACTCAACAAGTGATACAAATTAATTTAACTTGTGGTTATGAGTAAAGGTATATAAGTAGCATTTATTTGTATGCCAAGTACACATTCTCTGTATTTTCATCAAGATATCAAAGATCATTCAATAATGTTTTATTAAACAGACAAAAAAGTGAGGAGCAAAATCAGGTTCACAAAAGGACTAAATATAGATGTTTTTAATGAGAAAGCAAAGTGCTAAGTTCTATTCTTGCCACGCACTGATTTCAGTGGAACGTATTAATTTACGAAGTACCATAACATGTGACTTCTAATGACCTAATCATAAGCGTTAACTGCGCCATCATTACTGTTCTGTTGCAACAGGCTTTGAAAATATCCATAAGAAATGTAGTGAAGTTATTTATCTGACACTGAACGCAAGGCTTACTCCTAGTGATGCTGTGAATCAGTATACGTCTAAATAGTGATTTTTTGAGATGTTTCGAGTGAAAACGAGTTTTAACAAATGAAAGGCAGAAATGTTAGAAGAGATTTAGTCGTGTAGTAAAATCATGTTTAACTACTCTAATACACAGCATGTTAAGTAAAACCCTGTGGAAATTTTTTTCACATGTTTAAATGAATGATGTAAAAGTAAATGTATCAGTTGTGTAAATGAATTCATTAGAATTATTTCAATGGGTCGGTCACTTGGTGTCAGGTAACGGGAAATTTTAGTTTTCAGTGAACAGAAGCCAAGTAAACACAGCATGAAGAAAGCATTTCAGACCAACCAAAATAACATTTCTGCGCAAACCGGGTAAGCAGATGAAACGATTACCATTAATATTTAGATGTAAACTTTACTGGGTAAAATACCAGGCAACAAGAAGTATTTTTGGGGCTTAACGTCAACTCACAAAAGCATGCAGTCAAAGTTTGTTATATGCAATGAATTGTCCATCTTTATTCTCAAAATAAGGATGAATGCCAACCAGATAAAGCTAAGAAAGTACTAACGGCTTTCTTTTCTTGATTGTTGACTGAAATTTTGGTGGTCTGGTTGCTTAATAAGGGGACTTTTACTCGCCATAAATGATTAACGTTTATTTCCAATAATGCTTTATTTTTCTCAGATACTTCGCTATTATTTCGCAGGCATTTTCTTTTGTTTGGTTCACCAAGAAAAAATTGTCAGGAAAAACTTTATATTGGGATGCATTTTCGTAAATATGGTCTTATAAACTTCAGTCCCACACACAAAGGCGTTCTTAATAAGTATGAATAGCAATCTAACATATGGTTCTTCATCTAATAATAAATAATGGCCTTATTCTGAAAGCTATTTTCTTTGCGTTCACAATGAAACACCTGGGACGAAAAATTCATTATGACAGAAGTAATACAAAATTAATTACTTTTCTGAATACGAGTGATTTACAAAATCGAACGCAGCAGAAATAAGAGGAATATTGGCTCAGTACCTCTTCTGTGGAAATCAATTTAATTAAATTTGTGAGATTAAGATTTTTACAATATTCTTACCAAAAGTATTCGGGAACTGTAGGCAGTTGAAAGTGGAAGCTGAACTTTTTTCTGAACTTACTCCATAAAGGGGATTCGTTCAAATCTGAGTTGGTATTTTAAGATGGTTAACAGATTTTCGTCAACAGTTTTGGGAGAATGTTTAAACATTATGTTGGAAACGTTCACCAAAATTTCTATTGTCAGTCCTACCTAATTTCCTACTTTATTGGTGAATTTGTCTAAGAAGAAATTGTTTCTTACAATCCGCTATGTGTTTTTATTAGAGTTTATACGCAGCAAAGATACCGATCCTAAAGGTTAAACACAACATAATTTTATACTAGAATTTCAAACAAAAGTAACTCAATCTATTTGGATGCAACATCTCATAGTGCATAAAAATGATATTTATGGCTTATTACACACAAACTATTTCCTTTTTTTGTTTTCAAATCATTTGACTATCACTGCTCAGCTGGAATAAATTCTTGATTCCGTAAATATTTTACAAACGTTTTCTTCAAACAAGGAAGAAACTGGTTTTCATAGTGAGGACACAAGATGTAATAAAATTCGGAACAATTATAAATCAGGAATAAATGTTGAAGACACGAAACACTGCCTTTTCACGATAAGATGTTAGCTTATGAAGTGCCTTCCTTATCCGTGAGTGGATCTTAAATAAGTTAGTGACAAACGACCGACGAATTATTCCATGCAGGTTTGTGTTACGTGAACAGATTACGGGACTTTGCACATCAGTGAAGGATACTTGTCATACACAGAATAGAATAATTTCAGATACAAAATAGCTCTTGTAACCGTATAAGTCATATACATGTGACTAGAGGTTCGCTTAACATCACTTTCACGCTAAGGGTTAAAATTCCTGCAATACTGCTCATGAAGACTCAGTTTGTTCAATCATGCTCATCCTTTAAAATGTTCGCAGTTGCGAAACGTAACTGCAACTGAAATAAACATAAAATACAAACGAGATGATAAGTGAGTTTCTTAAAATATCAGCAAATTTAGTGATGCATGCAAAGGAAAGAAAACCTAATGAATAAAAGTGCTGGAAAGGATTGGGACGAAAGCTTCTAGAAAGAAAATATATCTGCAGATTTGTCATCTGTGTGGTTATTTGAGGAAATAAATAAATTTACATTTGGATGACGTTGTATTCCCTAAGCCAGATGATTTAATTACGAAGCTTTTATTGTCATCCAAGATATCATAAGCGCAAACTCAGCATAACATATCAAGTGAAATCTCGATTGTGTTTCGTTTTAAGATATTTTAGGAAATTCCTAGAAGTATCGAAGCAATACTATCAAAAGATACAGTGTATAAAATTCGTCACCACATAGGGACTGGATACATCTCAGTCATGGGTGGTTTGAATATAAATGTGAAACCTAGAAATGATAAAGTTGAATGTCTCCACCTTCCCATAAATAGTTTCACAGATATGAAGTGTTAATTTTGGCTTAACTCAATAACACCATTCAATTGTGAAAGGATTGATCTCATTCAAAACTCTTTTTACTAACTGTTATGTTACTGCAATTTAGAATCCTCCACAAAGATACAACCTAAATATCTCTAGAATACGTGTTGCTTCATTCCTATTACATGTGTTTGGTGTAGGTTCGATGAAAAATCTTCAGTGGTCAATCTTTCTCTCTTCACCTAATTATACTGAACTTAGTTACAGTGGTTTTAACACCCAACCACACAATAGGGTGAGGTAAAACCAGTGTACTTCAATCCTAAATAATTCAGTGAAGAAATTGATCACCGAAGCTTTGTTCATCGAGTCTACACCCAACACATGTAATAAGAATGACACAACACCTACACCAGAGATTTGGAAAATTTTACTGCCAATAAAAAAGAATATGAGGTGACAGGACTAAAAAAATCGAATATCGAGAGGAATCTGATTACACTTACACGATTATGAGCAATAATTTATGCTCAAAACGTTATAATAAATAATATTGTATCACTATGTGTTATATATCAAACAAACAAATCTAATATGAAATTACAAGTTTAACATTGCACTCATATCTAACGTACGTGACGCACTAGGTATATTCTTGAATTCTTTTTTTCAAAACTATGGGAAAATGTAGCAGAAAAGAAAGCCTATATATTTATCAGCTTTCTTGAGAAGATATCTCCACACCTGAAGCCCACAGCTGTTATTATTTAAAAAAGTGGTTATGCGTGAAATATGAAGACCTGACAAACTTATTGGAAGATTCTGCGGAGTAAGGTGAAGTGTTAAGTG